AAGTCGCAGGCCTCCATACACCGGTTTAGGAACTGCCGACTTCTAACGGGATCCCAAAGTTCACGCCGACTCGAGGCAAGGATAGTGAAGTCCAAGTGTAGATTTAAATAATACGTGCGATGACAGGGTCAAAGAACGGTTTACATTCAAGTCGAAAGACAAGAAAGGCGGTATAGTAGCAAACTGAAACAACAGACTGGGGAATCACGTTGTACACAATAGGAATAGAAGAAAAGCATCAAAGTCAGTATATCGATACGATTTCCCTATGACTACACTTTTTAGCCAGTTTGTCAGACCCTTCACCCTGCTTTACACCCTCATTATGAGAAGTATCATTGGTGAGCTAAAATTTTTCTTGCTCAAAGGTTAGATGTGGAAAGAAACAGGAGTATAACGAGGTCATCTAAAACCATACTTTCGTACTTCTCCAATTTTAAAATGGCAATGTCTGTTCGATTAGTCTATTCTGACTATTCTACGGTGTTGCGCTATGCAAAAGTGACAGATTTTGTACAGGTCGGGCAAATTAATAATTGATTCCCTCGGGTTCCACATCAGGGCGTTTTCTTCCTAGAACCATCCTCTCGGGCGTTCATTTCATTGTGTTTTTCCCATGTTCCCATTTTCCCTATTTTGGCCGAGGCACCATACCTATCAGTGGCCTACTATGTGGGAGCACACACGCTTTTTGTCACCCCGCCTTGTCTTGATATGACCTACGCCCTCGACCTTTTCAGTAAGAGTAGACCAGTTATTATCAGTCACCGACAGGTTTAGAAATTCGTGTAAGCGTATGTGGGAGCACGCTTTTTGTCACCCCGCCTTGTCTTGATATGACCTACGACCTCGACCTTTTCAGTAAGAGTAGACCAGTTATTATCAATCAGTCACAGGTTTAGAAATTCGTGTAAACCCGAATTCAGTCCGAATACCGTTGTCTGTCAATTTGGTTGCCTTTAGCAACCACATATCTCGGGCAACAGGTGTGCCATGTGAGTCACGCACATGGTCAATCATAAAAGAGATATTGACCGCATCGGAACGTCTTATTGGTGAGGACACAGTGATATCTCTTTTCTTGCAAACTGTGCGATCTCTTGGTTTACCTAAGTTTTCACTGTATGATATTTTATCGTTTTCAATCCGCGACCATGAAATCCAAATTTCTTTTTGTCTGGAGTTGGCTGTGGGTCAAGTTAGTTATTTGAATGTCCTCACTCTGAAGAATAGAACCCGCCGTCAAATACAGTCACTACTTGACGCCTAAGTTTAAAAACAATGCAAAGACAAATGCAGAGTTAGTTAAATCTTTCAGTTTCTTTGTCTTTTATTAAATTGACTTGAGTTTCCTTGGTCAACGCAAGCTGGCAGCTTTAAAAATGTCGCATTAGAGGTAGATTGATTGAGGAAGGGGGACACCGCGAACAGATAGACGAAGCTTCTCCATTGCCTCTTGAACCTACAGCTGCCTGTAAATATTGTTTTCGGTAATCAGTTGGGCCACGTTGAGTTACGCGCAAAACCTCAAGAGTCAAATCGTTCGAATGGAGGTTTATTAACGAATGCGTTACCATGAATACGACAAGATAATGGTAAAATTGTACGTACCTCAAGTCGCAGGCCTCCATACACCGGTTTAGGAACTGCCGACTTCTAACGGGATCCCAAAGTTCACGCCGACTCGAGGCAAGGATAGTGAAGTCCAAGTGTAGATTTAAATAATACGTGCGATGACAGGGTCAAAGAACGGTTTACATTCAAGTCGAAAGACAAGAAAGGCGGTATAGTAGCAAACTGAAACAACAGACTGGGGAATCACGTTGTACACAATAGGAATAGAAGAAAAGCATCAAAGTCAGTATATCGATACGATTTCCCTATGACTACACTTTTTAGCCAGTTTGTCAGACCCTTCACCCTGCTTTACACCCTCATTATGAGAAGTATCATTGGTGAGCTAAAATTTTTCTTGCTCAAAGGTTAGATGTGGAAAGAAACAGGAGTATAACGAGGTCATCTAAAACCATACTTTCGTACTTCTCCAATTTTAAAATGGCAATGTCTGTTCGATTAGTCTATTCTGACTATTCTACGGTGTTGCGCTATGCAAAAGTGACAGATTTTGTACAGGTCGGGCAAATTAATAATTGATTCCCTCGGGTTCCACATCAGGGCGTTTTCTTCCTAGAACCATCCTCTCGGGCGTTCATTTCATTGTGTTTTTCCCATTTTCCCATTTTCCCTATTTTGGCCGAGGCACCATACCTATCAGTGGCCTACTATGTGGGAGCACACACGCTTTTTGTCACCCCGCCTTGTCTTGATATGACCTACGCCCTCGACCTTTTCAGTAAGAGTAGACCAGTTATTATCAGTCACCGACAGGTTTAGAAATTAATTTAGGCAACGATTATCCGTTGTATGTTCCAGTGCTTTAGGTGAGTAAAGCTCAATCCGTTTTGCTTTACCCAGCGAGAGAATTGAGGTCAGGGCTAAACATGAAGCCCCCCCCCCCAAGTTGTTTTTCTTTCCTGAGTGCTACTCCGCGGTACTGAAGTGCTTCCAGCTCGATCAATGGAGGATTCCTCGAGTTCGGAGAACTGATATTACGAAAAAATCAACTCGCAAAATTGGTTCTCTTCCAAATGAAGATGTAAAGCGACTGGAAATCGATGAAGCTGTTTCTCCAACGTCCTTCATGTATGTGGGTTTCTTATAGAACAAATGTGTTGTATTTAGTAAACAATAGCAATGCATTGAGTCATCGTATATACTTCGATGAGCGGTTGTCATCCGACCATGATTTTCCCGTAGAGAGGATCTCTTACACACATATGCGACAACGCACAACAGCTCCCAATACGGATCGTTTTGATCAAATATCGTTAAAACACGATCACCATCGTCAACAACTGAACGACGGACACCGACCAAAGAGGATGTCCGTATTTGAGTTAATTTGTCAGGGCCACTTCAACCCACTGCCGACCGACAGTGAGTTTTATCCAGGACCGGTCTGCACCGTCGATAGCACTTCCCGTTCCTCTATGAAAGCCGTCAGGGTCACCAGAATTTTCGCTTTTATATCATGCTTGTACCATTACTGAGTGAACAACTACAGCTTCAGACTTGTTCCGCTCACTCTCGTTAGCTGGGTAATTGACATTGAGCACCAGTCAACAGATAAAATTGAACCAGCAGTAACTCTCTTGGCGCAATATGTGTATTGCAGCGATACGATCAACGAGGATACCTCTTAACTGTCGAATATTGTGCACATAATGGTTCAGTCTAAAAAAACCGACCGTAAGGGATCAGATGGATGCACCTGACCGGGACTCTATTATGACAGCAGCAATCAATGTCATATAATACATAGGGACGTTCTCATTCAGTATATTTTTGGCAAATTATGTCTGAGTGCAACAGTTTGAACATGCTGTAGCAAGTTCCCAAATGACAGGATGATGAAAAAACAAGACATGCTTTGGACATTTAACTGGTCATGAATACCAAATTCTCTTAGGATGCTGACTCTTCACTTTCATTGGTGTACTCCGTAGGCATTATTGACTGTACAACGTACGCGCGCCCAATTGTTCGAACCCCATTGTCCACCTTTACATTTCGTTGTATTTTTTCGGACACTCATTATGTTGTTCACGGGAATTTAGACTTTCCTTTGGAACTGATCCCGGATTTCGGCAGACTAACCAGCAGCTTGATGTGCCGGTGAGAACTTCCGGATAAGCAACACAAAACCGGGCAAACAATCGTTGTACGTTGCATGTACGGTCGCTGCTCTCCGTCGCGTTGTGTTCAGCGGTATTACGGGGTCTGCAGAGCCGTAAAGCTGATGGAACCTTAAAGATCACCCATAATAAACTGTACCAACATACTCGAGAAAAACAAGATTGAGATCACCCATGGAAGGGTCTTGACAATATGAAATCACTCGATGCCCAACCTTGTCCGCAAAATTCCTCGGTCAAGAATACCAAATCCTGTGGTGATTTCCCATGGTTTTTCATGGGCTAGTCCGGAATTCCACATTCTGGCACAGTAACCACGGTGACTTTTCGTATTTTACCCCATCATTACATCGGGTTGAAAATTGGTCACCATTCATCGTGCGGGTCGGTTTATCATCCCTACCCCGATAATCTCAGTGTTGTCACACGGCTTCAGAGAGCACGTATCGAGACCACTAAAATTCCGACGAATTTCAAAAACGTGTATCTTTACGTACAGAGCACGTGGTCAGAACACATGGCGGCATTATCTACCAAAAGTACACTTATGCTGCGTCACCTCAGGATGATTAGCCGAATATTTAATTTGGAAAATCTCACGACTGAATTATTTACCTATTGCCGACTCCATGGCTTCCGTTGTTTCACGAACTGTTATATATTAAAGCTACTTTGGTTAGAAGTATGCCTTAGCATAGATTTTACCACACTCAATAATGAAACATGCTGCTGTTTCTTTTTACAAAAGACGGCACATATGAATAGGAATTCAGAACTCTCATAGTAAGATCCGACAGTGTCCCTAAACAGGTTGAAGTTGGGTTCCACTTCACCAGTTGTACATGAGAGATCTTAGGTCAGGTTTTTTTAGCGACAAGCTTTCGGAATAATGTAGAAATGCTGTGGTTGTGATTATCTCTCATTAAGGAAAATTGTTGTGACATCATTACAAAGTACAAATGGTCTCTCGTTTTGAACCTTCGTCCTTTGTCCTACTTTGACCAGCTATCCGGATCATCATCATCACCGACAGCATGACATCATTGTTCAACACCGATGCTTCGCTGCCGCACAACTATCCGTATATTACTGAATAATCAATCTAAAAATAAAAACTACTGTCCATCATCCTTCTAACAGTTCCCTAGCTGCCCCGGAAGGCAGTATTTATACCTTGCAAATTTGTTATTATAGGAAAGGTTCTGAAACATTTTGCGATGATACTGTTCTTTAAGGCCTACTTACTCAGCTAATGCTATTGTGTGTGGAGATGCCACCACCCAACCTGTAGGGGCCTCATGTGGTTCGTCACTCAGGAAGTTCAGGTTGGTGTCAGGTTGTGTGCCAGCACAATATTCGCTCATGATTGTACCGCAACGAATACGTGCTTCTCGTGCTTCCCGTCTTTCCGTAACTTCTTCAAACCCATCCTCGATAGAAGGAAAGAATCATCAGTGAAAACGCTGATTAGCTATCGAATACAACAACCAGGGGCCGCTCCTTCTAATGTCTTTCCAGAACAGTCAGTCGTGGCATTTGCACTTTCCTCTTATTCCTGGTGCTCGGCCTTCTCAAAATCAAGGTTGATCAGTCCATAGATTACTTTGCTGCTTTCACTTGCTTGACCTAGAGAATAGTACTGTATTAAGTTGTCATTGATTTCAGATCAGACAACCCGTCAATGTGGGACAAATTGACGTCTCACACCCGTGATCTTGCGCGTCGGATAGCTCTGGTCAAACGATGAAAGTGTAGCTTGAGATCCCGGAAGATTTTATGTTTTCTGGCACACCGATCTTCTGTCCAAACTACCATTATGAGTTGAGTTACGACCGAGAATGGACTGAAAGCTCCTTGAGCGTTTGATTACTCCGTGTTTGTCTTGATGCGGCGGTTTCCGCAAACTTTGTCACCAACGCATCAGTCCCTCCAGACTTCGTCCTTTACTCAGATATGTTTTCATCACCTGAACTATCGTTTCTCTGTATATCCCTCCAAGATTCACACTTTTTCTATCCACCACTCCGAATTTTCTTCCTCTTCTGAACCTGTGCCTATCTTCGGATTCTAAATGGCCGTGTACAGACGACCAGCACAGTGAAGAGAAATCTTTCTGAGATTTGTTATTTGGGCTTTAGAAATTCTGAGCCATTCCACCCCCTCTGGAACTTCCCCTCGTACTTTGCAGTTTTATTCGGATGAACTAGTTTGTATCGACCCGCAATGTATTTGTGTTAATCTTCTTCCATTCTTCCAGGGTTCGATTTCGTTGCCAGCCTTTTCTTATCCAATTGCGTTAAACTAATCGCTACGTGTTGCTTTATTTTTCGGCCCTCGTAAGTATCTTACTGACCCCAACTTCTCGTTCTTTGTAGATCTCAGCGTAGTCGTACTTTAGGGTACTTGTATCACGTCTGAAGTTGTCCGTTCACTTACCCATGATCTTAGCACCGTCCCTTACGGACAGTCTCCACACTCTCTCGCACTATCACTTTATTTCCCCGTTACTTCCATGACAAACGTTCCTCAGTGCATGCGCCCACAGACTTCTCATTATTCCGCTGGTCCATGTTTTCCTCCAAGTTAATCTGCTCTGCGGTCGGACTGGTCTATTCGCCTTTTCCTTCTTCTCCAGGACAAGCTCGCTCTGAAACTCCCTGCGCTCCTCATATTTTCAGCTTCTCGCAACCTTTAACTGTTCGTGACCAGAATCAACACTTCCCCGCGGAATTCTCGACTGTCACATTTTGTTTACTTGATTTTTGTGCACCTATGCTCACGGTTTATGGAATTCCTCTGTAGACCTTTCACTGCATGATGGAGAAACTTTTTGCTGCGTAAAAGTTTTTTTTGTTTTCCCAATATTGTTCCTTTCCACAAAACAAAAACTCCCTACTTTACAAAAATTGGCCATTGCTTAGTCATACGGTAGGACGACATGTATCCTACCCTAGTGAGTCAAACCTCCTCGCCGTTTTCTCCTAGTCATGTTTTGAACAGCTGTTGTGGACCATTTTGGGTTGTTTATTTATCTGCCATCTATTCTTTCAGCTAGAACCCGTACATGTACATGGTATGCTTACGAAGTGGGATATCCTGTGCTGCCAAATTACTGACAGTTTGATTTGGGAGAAAATCTCACAAGAAAGGATCCAACTCAAACACGATTTCGAAGGATTGTAGTACACATTTTCACGTAATAAGCTCCCAAAATTACAAGGAAATTGGTTGAGGATGATGAAATCTGATGTATATTGCTGACCGGAAGGGTGCGAACAACTCACTCACTGTTCACAGATAAGCTGCCTATCTGTCGTGAAAGGCAGTTCAGGTTCGACGCCGTTCAGAGGCACTATTCGGCATCCTCGTTAAACGGCCTAACTGCCTTTGAATGCTCCGACTGGTCTAATCGGCTTACCTTCCATCGGCACAGTCTCATCCATCCGTCATGTTTTTTTTCTGCCGCCGGCATATCTTTATACACGGTGTAGAGGACCACTCAATTTTGGTCGACCGCCAGAAGCGGACGATAAACCACCACCCCCCACCACTGACAGCTCTGCTCCAGTCATGACCGCCAACACAAATTAACCTGGATTCACACACAAACAGTGGTCGCAAGTGTTTTTGATGATCTGTCATGTGAATGGTGGGTGACTCATGTCTGGTGATCAAGCAAGACAATCCTCAGACCAATTGAGACAAGCAAGTTCAGATCTCTCGGTTTCCTGCGTATAAGATTTTTTTTTAAACTGACTCACCGATTGGTTTTCGCAAGCATTAATCCGACTGAACCGAACTGCTCAGGAGTGTTTTCAGTGAGGCATTACTTAGGCACGATTCACCGCTGTCAGTTTGATAGCCTATCGGACGAGAAGCAGTCGCAGAATGGGTAGGTCGATGGCAACCCATTTGGTCTGCAATTCATTTATTGTACCCAGGATTCTCAGATCAAGCACGTGGAACGGTTAGTGTTTGGGTTCTTCATGACCCATACCTCGACATCCAACAGGTTGACTAGGGTTAGTGGACTACACTTAATTTAAGCTTCGTCCTTATTGGGAAGCTTCAAAAATACACACCTCACGAGTCTCTAAGGAGACTGAAACTCACAAATGGGTATCGAACAATCCACCATTCAACCGAGGATGACGAATCAGCAGAATAGACGAGGCACGGCACTGCTCATCCTCCAACCACGCGTTTTTGCGTTTGAATTGTCCTAGAGACCATCAAGACCAACTGATGAGTACAAGGACCACAGGGATGGGACAGTTGTATAGCTCTTTTGTCCTCATTTGACCTTCCTATTCAGAGCGGAATCCATATTTGAAACTCTGAAATTCCACTTACAAAAAGTAGTTCATTTGCGCTGCTTCCCTTCACCAAAAGCACGTACTTTGAGTCAGGATCAGGCCCAACGAGCCCAGCAGATAATTGATGTGTGGAAGGCGGGACTGGAATCAGTGGTCTTCATGAACAGTGGTTCTTGGTTTCTATTTTGGAATGGGTTTTAACTTACGAGTGCTTGAGTTCGGTAAGCTGGAAGAACAGTCCGGATGTAAGCGTATTGGTCTCAACTTAGGTCATCTTTTTACTGAGCCGAACGGATTGAAAGCGTCATATTCCTTTCATAAAAAAACTGCAACTGCTGACTCATTTCAATGTCTTAGCTCCCCTCCAGTAATCAGTTATCTACCTTCAGTTTACTTCAATTCTTTCTCCTTCGTTTCAAAACTTTGTTTCATCTGATTAGGTCAGTTTCGCATGCTTTCCTATCTTGGTCAATCATTTTCAAAGCTTATTTTCGATTTTGTAATGAATCGTACGTTGACTCTTTTCTGAATCAAGATTCTCACTTTATCTGCGCCCACCTCTAGTTCACAGCCTTAACCCGTTCAGTTTTTATCGTCTTCTGCTTAACACACACACACACCACGGAACGCTTTGTCCGCCTGTAACACTTTTTTCCGTTTTTCTTTTGCTCCCCGAATGAAAATGTCAAACAGATGCTATCTCATCATCAAGATTGTGACAGTGCTGTCAGCTGAGTTTTCTCTCCTGGTGGAGTGATTGATTGTCGCAATGCAAAGTTTACGGTCGCTGTCGGTTTCTGTTTATTTTTTGTCGGTTCACACACACGAGCTGATGTAACCTCATCACATAATGCCGGATTTCTTGCGTTGCCAACAGTGATTTCCCACCCAGTGGCATTCGTTTTCTACGAATGGTGATTGCGAGTTTGATGTAGGCTTTCCGTCTTCTCTTCCCCTACCTCAAGACGTGCCCATGCGTGTGTCTATGCCTGTATGACTCGAGCACATGTGTCAAAGCACTGCAATAAACTAGCTACATGTGTACTGGAAAAATGCCACTATAGGTGGTGGACGGGTGAGCGACATCAGGCATCTCAAATTCAAGAACTAGAAATTCGATGATAGTCATGATTTTATTCCACTGGGATTTAAGTATACCCAGGCAATACAAGTTACCGATGCTTCCAATATTTTTTTCAGGTCTTCTGGCCCCTGAAGAGCTATGTAAATGTACCTTACATTCATCACGAATATTACCCATTGTGTGTCAGCTCGACTCATCCTGCAACAGGAATTCTGATGGCACATTTTCACTAGCTTTTACTTGTATTTGATGCGTTAGATGAGTATGTCGATTTCCATATCTCCAGATCCCATTAGGTCCACACGTATAGGTAATCTACACTTTCGATATTGCTTCTGGACACGTTTGCTGAACAAAACTGTCCTTGAAGGTTTTAGGAAGAAATATTCTGTGCTGACGAAATTAACTCGTCTGTAGATCCCGCTGGTGGCAACTGAATCTTCGAACGAATGTGCTGCGCACAAGCTTCCTCATGTTCTAGTTCGGCACTGTATTTCCAATACCATAAACGATAAATTCATTTGATGCACACTATTAGCCCTATTGTCCATATCGGTTAAGATGACGTCTTTCGCCTTTTCGCAAACGCGGTGGAAATGCCGGCATTATTAGCTAATTCGATCACTTGCCGGGCAAAGCCCCCTCGAACATACAATTACATGTCAAGCAGAAAGATAGTGTATATCTGGACCCGTGTTTGTGGAAGGCAGTTTATCCACTCTTTTGAAAGGCCACTTGCCGGGCAAAACCCCCTCGAACACACAATTACATGTCAAGCAGAAAGATTGTGTATATCTGGACCCGTGTTTGTGGAAGGGTTCGAGTGGGGCAGACAATTTGGCAAACCAACATAAGAATAGAAAATAAAATATGTGGTGTGTTTTTGATGTGACCACCTTTCAAGGCGATTTTATGTGATTTTTATTGCCCTGGCTGGAGATGGTGCAAGATATAGTTTTCCGTCAAACTGCTGCTCTAATAGGATTTTCTGACTAAGCGTTCGAATGCGTTTTGGAGTTTCTACACTAGGGTTAGATTGTGTTGCTACACAGTTTATTCCTTTCATGATAGGTTTTCTCAAATAAAGCCATGGTCACACAGCAATACAAAACGTATCTAACGTTGGTATTGTTAAAGCTTCACTTGACGATTGTTGTTCTCGTCTGAAAAGCCAAGACACTGCGCCCACATTCTACTCCTCTTTGTTTCGAAGTATGCAGCTTGCGAGTTCTGGGTGGGAATTAAGTGTACGAGCGTCGCTAGGTGTCATTCTGTCTGTTTCTGAACGATGTCCGGTTATTTTCAGATTTGCTCACTTTTTTGTATAATGTGCGGTCTAGGTCTTACAGTTGACAATTGCAGCAATCTTACGGCTTGGACAGACTGTGACATGCGTATAGCTTCGTAAAGATTCCAATCAGGTGAAGTCATGGTTAAAAAGTATGATTGTTCAATTGGGTGAGTTTTGTCTCACATAATAACTGTAGATAGTGGCTTCCAGAGCATCATTTTCATCGACAGTTTGGAGAAGGCTAGCATGTAGCCCTGCGCGTGGTGTCAAGCGATGTCAGATCAAGGTCCAATACAGCAACTCCTCTTCTACCTAGAAGCCCTCTTTTTAAGGACTCTACCTCCAATATCGACCTATCATCACTAGATGACATTCGGTGGACAGGTCATTTTTCTGTAGGGCGAACTGGGGCTAACTCTAATCAATTGGAAAATGTTTGGGACTAACTCTGTACCCTCTTTTTAAGGATTCTACCTCCAATATCGACCTACCATCACTAGATGACATTCGATGGACAGGTCATTTTTCTGTAGGGTGAACTGGGGCTAACTCTAAGCAATTGGAAAATGTTTGGGACTAACTCTGTTGTACAGCCTGATTTATTCGGTGTGTCGGATGTTTTATAGAAGGAGTGATGTACAGCAATAAAGAAACGGAGGTATAAACGTTAAACGGGATACAGAAAACTGGCTGTGTTCGTTTGAGATGTGGGACTGAGCGCGATGCTTGCTTTTTTCCGCATGGTTTACACTTTCGAGGCTAATCATACTGTATAAAGCGACTAGGTTTCGCAAGATTACCGTCACAGAAAGACGAATGGACTTTTTTTTCACCTTTCAACTATTTTCTTGTCCAAATCGTCCGACGTCCAACGTCTTGAAAATGCAGTAATTTCGCATCCAAATGTAATCTGAAATTGAAAGGTAGCGACGAATCACACGTGTTTCAATGTTTGGCTCTGCTCACTCTCCCCCATTCATGAGCTGACTTACGCGTTCGGTATAATTAGCAGCTAGCATGGAGAACCTTAGTTGCTGCACTTCCTAAACGGTACTTCTAGTCATCCTATGCGGAATAGCTGAGGAATGCAGTGGTACTAGGACTCGGAAGGGTGCTACAAGTGAACGTGATACCTGACTCACCAAAATTCTTAAGAGAATCCGAAGCAAGGCTAAGTTGTTTGTTACGGAGTTATGCAGTTAACTGGTGTTATCTCCCCTGCGAATCTAGCTGTGAGCATGTGGTCGGTCCATTTTGATGAAAACGTGCGGGGATGCCATAGATTGACATCATGTATTTTACAAATGATTTCGGCATTTCGGTTAATTAGTTTGAAAGAACAATCAATTCACTCGCTCAGTCACTCTAGGGTCCAGACTGGTGGGGAAAATCCTACCATGCGTCGTAAACACATTCTCATCAGCTTGTTAGCACAGTGTGTTTTCTAAGTGGAATCAATGGGAGAAACCATGGAAACTTTCGTTTGTATGTTTTGCTTCAGGTATCAAGCTTTTTGTGTTCCTAATTAGGCGTCGCGCGTGGTGGCTAATTGCAACTGCTCGGACTAAAAACCACCGGGTTGGTTGTTGTTTGGTACCTGTCTCCCTGTGTTTTCTACTCTTTTCTATACCGGATAATGGTTACGGGGCGAAATCCTGACAGGGTAAATGATAATATATGTACATGACGCTCTTGTTGACTTGTTCTATGTTCCCTCGGGTTGTTTGCGAGAGGTTAGCAAACATGGCCTGGTTGACTGGTGGGTAACACGGCCGGATGTTGTTTCCACTTCGTTACCCCTCTCTTCTGCTTGTTTCGCTTAGAATCTACTGGAAATCCGGACGAATGATCGGTTGAGTAAACATACTGTTTCAACTCATGGATGTCCTGTCGATTAAACCGTTCGTTCCTTACAAGCATGAATCTTGTGATTTTTCCACTGGTCACTTAGTTCAAGGATTTGGATGCCTGTCCTCTGGCCTAATTTCTGTGAGACAGAACCGATTTCATAGATGATATTGGAAATGGTAATTTATTTGGGGAATTCCGCTCATAGCTATCACCTATCGGGACGATAATTTGGGTTTGGGATGAAAGTCTAGGGATAGATTTTAAATGTTGGTCTGAACGTCGTGGACCATTCAGCTGGGTAGTAAAAAGATTACTGGGTCGATTTTCGATGAGCGTAATTATGTGTGGCTGTGGATTTCCCAACAGGCTTGTTCGCAGTGTTGAATTAAGTACCTCAGTCACTAGGATTTCAGTGCGAATTGTATGTAGTAAAATGACAAAACAGAAAACGCTGTGGCAATATAATCTCTGAGTGGTTGGAGTATGACAACACAAGTGGGACAGCAATTGATCGAGAGAAAATGCGATGAGAACAATTTGATGCACTTCCCACGCTAATTATGGGTTCTTTTCCATTTTCAAACAATGAACACCGCATTCTCCGATGGTGAATTCTTTAGGGGATTCAGCACTCTACTCGCCCATCCACACTAAATATATGTTACCAACCTAGGCATCTCCGTTTTTTATACAATGGCTTGTGTTTTCCCCATTCGGCTCAGCAATAAGGCAGGCAGTTCCTATTGAAGATTAACATCTCATGTGTCCCTCTCGCTGCTCTGACAGCGAGGACACAGAAAAATCAACATAAGGCATTCAATGGAGTGGTTTTTCTGAGACTGGGTCCTTGGATTGATTGGGTAGGTGTTTTGACATAGTAGCATTTATTGTCAGTCGCCTGACATTAGCTGTTATGTATTAATCAATACACTGGGTCACTTCGACTGTATTCAGTTTCACGTGCATGTTTAATACAAACAATTAGTCCTTTGTTTGTTAAAGTCACCAACAAATGTGCATATTCCGAGTAAACGTTTGTGCAGATAGTCTTAGCTACCTATTGACCATCTTCGTTGATATACATGTCCATAACCGGATTTACTCTGTAGTCCCTTTGCTGACAGGTGCGGTCCAGTCAGTTTATCGATTCTGTATCGTACGATGTCCGTTTCGGTCCAGTTCGCTTGTTCAGCTGTTCGCACCGTCAGTAAATCACCACAAAACACATGGTATACTACCCTCTGTAACGATATTCGTGCTGGAATGTAATGATCTTTTGATGACTGATTGGTGATGTATGGACGACATATTCGGCAATCTCTCACTCTGTTGTCCAGTTGAGCGGTCAGTTGCTGTGCTAGTGTGGAGCAAGATAATGGACAAATTATGATGCATTGGTCGCCGCACACGGAATAGTTATCAGCCTATCTTGGTACGAAGCATATTTTAAACCGGACATGCACAGTTATCCATGGCACCATAAACACCACCAGTTCGAATAGAAACGTCAAGAAACTCTTAACTCACTGTGCATTTCAGTGGTATGCGCAGCGTCGCTGCTGCTCGGTACATTCTGACACATGCTGGTCAAACTTGAAACGCACGTCGAACTTAATGACAAACATCGGTTTGAAGCCGTCGTCTGGTATGAACCAGGCCCGAAACATCCCTCTGAAGGGTCATTACCTCGTGCTATTTTGTTTTACTTTATCCAATCTGTTTCATGTGGACTTCACGTCACCCTGAGAACTGTCAACACTTCAATCGTCGGTCATCGGTTGCAGTACAAAGTGGCAGCTGCCATGAGTTCGTTCACATTATCGATGTACAACCGCGACACGACTCGCTTCTATTCATGGTTGTTACTGTGTTACGCTACCACTCCAAAGTGCTTAAGCTGAGTTCTGGTTTGGACATTCGATCATGGGCATTCAAGCAACTAGTGGAGCGTGACGTGAGCAATGCGACGCACTTTGGAATTAGGTAGCTGAGTACTTGTCCTATCAAAACGACTTGGCCTTAGGCGCAATGAACTCAGGTGTTTTTTTTGCTTTCAGGTGCAATAACTATGCTGTGGTTGGATCTTGACAACCTTTTTGACTGCTACTGTGGCCGTGATCTTCAAAAAATTAATCAATGGAATGCTACTGTGCCATTTCGTGAGAAGCTACTTTGATTCTCTGTAATTCTAATTTTTACAATATGAAAACGTTATTTCTTCTTCATAAGAAACCCCCGCCAATAAAGTGCTTAAAAGGGAGTGTTTTGGTAGGTTAACTTGTTCGTGCCATGTGAATCTCTGATGCTAGCAAAATCCTTCAATAATTGAGTTCCCTACATCTGCGTGAATGAAACAAGTCGTTCGAAAGGATGACAGTTTCATCTGTGATCTTGACCTCTCTCCACTTGTTAAATAGAGCGGTTCGAACCGAGTTCTACTCATCTAAACCAAGTTAAGCTTGAATGAGTGGCGTTCACTTTGAGGTTGAGGACAGCTTGTTATTTGTCTTAGATGTGCAATTACAACAAGGTTGGTTTTACTGATGAACCTGGACAATTATTTGTCTCTGGCCCCAAAGCTCAGGACTGTTCACCAGTCGAGAGGTTGTGAATTCATGCGTTGTTGGGTACAGTGCATGCCAAAGAATTTATGGGGTGTGATGTTGTATGGCTCAATATTTTTCCCAAAACGTCCGCACTGTATTCATTTGTTGATTTTCTGTCTGCAGGAACCCTCTTGTTGTTGTGGTTAGAAAGCAAAGTTTTTAGTGAAGGAAACTACTCACAAGGTTGCTGAAAACTCTTCAATAGCCCACGACCGGTATCGCCCTTCTTTGGGCTCATCAGGAATGTGCAGTCTACGAGCTTCCATCAAGTTTACATTCTACTTCAACATATATTAGACTGTTTTCGAGAAACACACTCATTTGCAAATCAATTCGGTTTTCACGAGAGACTCAACTGAATCTCTGTTTTATGATATTCTTCAAGCGAATGTGCTACACACATGCCACCTTGTTTCAGTTGGCACGATATTCGAGATATCGCAGCGTATTTCTATGAAGGAAACTACTCACAAGGTTGCTGAGTGAGTCGCAATTGAGTGGATTTGTCGCAATTAGTCCAATTTGGGTTCAACTAGAACACAAGCTTGACGGAAACTTGGGGACTGCGCCTACCTGATGAGCCCCAAGAAGGGCGAAACCGGTCGTGGGCTGTCGAGGAGTTTTTAACAACCTTGTGAGTAGTTTCCTTCATGAAAACATACTGCGATATCTCGAATATCTTGCCAACTGAAGCATTAGGCGGCCTGTATGCAGCACATTCGGTTGAAGAATACCACAAACGTGAGATTCGGTTGACTCACTTGTGAAAACCAAATTGATTTGCAAATGAGTGTATTTCCCAATGTCTTTGGTGTTTAGCTAGGCGACCATTGCGTTAGGCCACGGTGCCTAATGGCCTTTTTCATGCCCATTCTTCGCTCGTTTTTTTCGTTCTCCTCAGCCAACCAATGGATTGGACACGAATTTAGCCTAGTAACTATCACTCATCAGTATTCAGACAGTTTGGATAGTGCATCTGACGGGCCCGATCGTTGCCACCCATTCATTTTTGTTTTTGTTAGTGGCACTTTCGGGTTTAGTCATCCCAGCATATTAGCTCGAAAATGTGCACACAACGAAGGGGCAGAGTCAACAATCCAGAGTTGATATGATGAAGAATTTCTGCAGTGCCGCTGGTTTACAAACAGCCGTAGTGAACAACAACAGCTTTGTGCAAGTCAAAGTGCTGAAAGCAGCGACTGACCGCTTTTTGTTTGCTCATCACTTTTGATATGCGTGTTTTCAGCATTGTGTGCTATCCGAATGGTTTTACATAAGGATTCTTTTCTGAATCGGCGTGGCATCATCATTGGGACAGAGCCTGCGCCACAATGCACATCCCGTTGCCATCCTTTCATACTCCGGAGTTTGGTGGAGAATCCTCGGTCCACTGGGAGCACTCGGATTTGAGTAGACCTGTACAGAAAGCACCTTCCGAGGTATCCAGTTATTT